GTACCATAAATAACATAAAATTTTATTAATAATATAAAAATAATTTAAATTATAATTTAAAATAATTTTATAAATTCAGAAACTGATTTATAATAAAAAAAATCTTAATTATAATATAACTTATAATTCAAAAGCTAAATTAATAAGTCATCATTTATTTTCATGATGTTGTAAACTCACACCCAATTCATGCTTCCAAAAAAAAAAAAAAAAAAAAAAAGAATTATTTGAAGAAAAAGAAAAGTCAAATGCTGCGAGCGATGTAGTGCTATGGTAGACTCAACTATATATAGATATATAATTCGGAATAATAAATAAGGATAAATATATATATATATAACAGTAATTAATTTAGTATAATTAAACAATATTTAATAAAATAATAATAATAATAATAAAAGGAGATAAAATCTTATCTATTAATGTGGAACAAAACAAAAAAGAAAATCAAATAAAGAGGCTGCATTATTGGTCATAGGTGGTCTGTATTATAATTTTAAAATTGATATATATATATATATATATATCCATTTACAAGCAAATATGTAATTATGTATTAAAATCAATGAAGCGTGCAAGTATAAAGGAAACTGTATTTCATTAAAATAAATAAATAAATAAATAATTTATATATTCATCAAAAGCAGTTAAAAATGTATTTAACCTCTTATTTGTACTTTTTATAATATATATTTGGGTACGATACATGTTTTATTTTTAGTTTTATTTTTTAAAAAAAAAGTAATTTTAATCCTAAATTTAATAATAAACTTACTAATTATTATTAACTTGGATGATGATTTTTTGCAGTGCATCCGGACATCCACTCAGCGCTGACTCACCATAAACTTTTTTTTATTTATAATAACATATTTATTTAATACAAACAGCATTTCCAAAACCCACTTGAATCAAATTAAATACATTTTCGGGCACCCCCCCACCATAATATTAAAATTAAGCCTTCTTTAATTTATACAAAGGATATGTGTTGGACCGCATCAACCAAAATATATTATTATGTGGGTGTTGGCTGCAACCTCAATTTTCTCTAGACTATCTGAATTCAAGAAAAGCTGAAATTTTAAGCACCATTTTTATTCTTTAATACAAATACATTACCGGATTCTAAGTTGAGATATTTACGGTAAAAGAATTTGAGAACCACAATGTAATAAAAATGCTGCTAAATTTTTTTTCAAGTTTTCAAACTATATGAACAGTGGTGATAATTTTAATCAGTAAGTAAATATTTAAAATACTTAGAGTATTACACAATCTTAAAAGAGAAGGTGTTGGATCATGATTCGTTTAAACTAAAAGTTTGATATTAAAAGTGGACCGAATATCATTTTTGAAATAAAAGTTAATATAATTTGTATTTTATTAATATAATTTGGTAGATTTAATAAATAAAGTATTCGGTAGAAACATACTCTACAACTTAACCCCTACATGAAGCAAAATGAAACAAAGAAATTATTATTATTATTATTATATGAAGAAGATCCAATGCAAATACGGAGGACCTTCTTCTTACCTTGTTGGATCTCTGTGTTGGTGTTGTTGTTGTTATTGTCCACGCCAATATCATATATATATATATATATATATATATGTATAAAGATGAAGCTCCATCATTCGTGGAGGACCCTACCGGCCACTATCATCATATCGCACTGTTTATTGGTCACATAAAACTTTAGAATAAAGTACTCTTAATACATGCCAGCTATTTTAATATGAAATTCATATATATGTTTACCCATGTTACAAATAATTGGTATTCCTACACTAATGTGTGTGTGTATATATATATATATTCTAATATGAAATCCATATAACATATTAAGATTTATTTATTTATTTTTACCCATGTCACAAATAATTGGTATTCCTACTGACGTATCCTTATAATATATGTATAAAGACAAAGGCATCTAAATTGAATTGAAAAGTGGTAAGTGATAGATAAGGTGTAAAAAAATGAAGGTGACCTGTCAAATCCATATATTGGATGTTAGAGTTAAGAAAGTGACACATGGGTATATATATATATATATATAATAGCAGCCAAACAAGCTCCAGACAATGTATCAAAGTCCATTCTTGTACCACTCGTAGTACAACATAGGTTTACACTCAAAAAAATTATTCATCAACTTATCAATCATCAACAATTTAAGATCTGAAATCCTTTTTAATTTCACCATTTTTCAATTTTTTTATTATTAATTCTTATTATCATATAAGATTTTGATTCCTTTTTTTTTTTATTTTTACGTATAAAAATAATATATCATATTATTATTTCACATAACATAAAATTGATTTAAATTATGTAAAATATTATGGTTGATTTCAATTAAATTTCGTAAAAAGAAATTATAATGAAAATTTAATTTAGGAATTTTAAAATGGTTTAAAATCCTAAGATATATATAGTTGTTTTTAAAACAAAAATATTAAAAAAAAAAAAAAAAAATCTAAGGACCAAATTGCTAAATTAGGAAATGTAGGTCTTATACGTAAATTCACAACTCTTGTGGCCTTATCATTGTAATATCAGAAAAAGTGAGCTTGTTTGGTTTGATTATTTTTGTCCATTACCCCCGCCCGTCTCTCACTTATCTTACTTTTAGGTCCTTGATAAGGCCCCGCCTTTTTCTTTCTTCACTTTTTTTTTTTTTTTTTAAGCCTTATCCCCTTTCCAAAAAATTTAAAATTTAATTACAAATTAAAATTAATCACCCGAAAAGGAAACAAAACTCACGTGCTCTCTCTTCACTTTCCTTCCCCAATATTATTATTAATATTACCTTAAATTTCATCTCCCTTCCCTCTGTATATTTCTCTGTCTTTCCAAATTGCAAATCCAACTCTCCTCCTTCCCTCCCCATTTTTCCTTCCCTTCTATTTTTCATTTGATATACTGCAACTCCTTTGACGCTATAAATCTCCAATTTCGGAGGAAATCTCTCTTCACGATCTTCCTTCCTTTCTCTTTTTCTTTTCTTCAAGCTCCCTTCACACTCCTTTGGATACTAGAAAGTGGTCGTGTCAAGAGATTGAGATAAGGAAAGAGAGAAAGAGAGAGACGAAGACTGAGTGAAAATAGAGGATTTGCTGTATGTCAGCTGACTGTATTGAGACTTACTGCCGTGGATTTGGAGAGCTCGCGAACCCTCTGCAATGGCCCCAGCTCCGCAAAAAGCGACGCCCTGTTGCCTCCACCAGGGCGCCACCGACTCTCCTCCCATCGTCGCTGCAGTCCCTACCGCAGCCAATGTGGTTCCAGATTGGCCTGTCGCCTCCACCGATCGTCTCGACGATCCGCGTGCCAAGAAAGCTGCCATGGCGCCCCTGATTCGTCCTGTTGATTCGCTTCCAGAACCTTGCACTAATCCCCCTACAAAAGGTGCGGATCTCTTTCTGCCCCTATGTGTCTCTTCACGCGTGCTGGAGAGTTGTTTCTGTTAATA